GAATGATAGTTTGGTCGTACATGTACGAGGAGGCACTTGAATATCACTGGGCATTATGTCACAACATCAACCATGCAGGGAATGATAGTTTGGTCATACATGTACGAGGAGGCACTTGAATATCACTGGGCATTATGACACAATCTATAAAATAGCTTTATTCTAAAGTAAAGGTAACAATTTTTGTTTATAATTAAGTGATATAAAACAAAATTGTCTATTTTTTTCTACAGACTTCTCATTTCCAGCCACTCCTTTTTTGCTTGCTTTATTAAGAAAATGTTCTCATTTCCTCCCAATAAACATAATATTTAGGATTGTAAAAACCTACTCTTCTGTTTGGGCCAAGTTTCCATAGAACAGGTGTACAAAGAAAGACTGATGCAAAATAACTGAGGGGGTCAGGGATTAAGAGAACTTATCAAGACTGTTGCCAGATTGATTGGTTATCAGATATTTACAAACCCTTTTATACCTGTCAGTGCATTGTCTTTGAAAGATGTAAATAACAATAGAGTGCACCGTCCTTCCCTCTTAACAAGTTTGTAATAGTTTGAATGTCTCATTTTTTTCCTCCATCCCTCTTGGCTGTACAAGCTTTGAAGGGAACATCTCACTTCGGCTAAGCCATTAAAACCTCAGGGAATGTATTTGATGAAAAGAAACTTAAAACTTTTAATAACAATTCTGGTTCATCATGAACCAGTAAGAACTACTGTAGTTCCTGTTGTTCTATGATGGTAAGGATCGGGTCAAAGGTTGAACTTTACATAAGCTGTATGCATTGAAAAAAAAGTTGGGCCCATGTGAAAATCAGCATTTGTATTTGGCCTAAAATACACCCAAGATGTTGACTGTCTAAAAGAAGTTGGAAGCAATTCTAAAGTCTCTCTTCCCACTGAGACTGTTCTTATTTTCTTTGCTCATTTCATGCAGCTCCTGACCATGTTGCACTGTCATAATAGAGAGACTTGGATGGCAGCACACTTCAGGCTGCAAAATAACTTACTTTAGGCAATTGTGCACCTAGTTCTTGATGATACTTAATGGGGCCTATCTGATTGCATCTTGCAACACCTATTGCAATCTTGGTATTATTGCCTGTTCTCACTATCCTTTGACTTATTACAAGAAGAGTCGCGAAAAAGTCTTGGCTGCCTTCCACACAATGTTCTTTGAAGTTGCACTACAAAAAGGACAAAAAAAGGCATGATAAAGATGTTCGACAATGAGGTACGGTTCCAAACATGAATCACGCAAGGAATTGCTGCATTGGTCTGACAACTATTCCAATGGTACTTACTCTGAGAGTGCCTGGTGGAATTCATGTAATTGATCAGGAGTGGCTATCAAGTGACCAGGTGCAGCCTGAGTGGGTAGTTTATGCAACGCCTGAGCAACCCATTGAAGAGTTTCCTAAAAAAAAGCATAAAGTATTTAAGTTATAAAGTACCTCTTGCAAGATAAGAGAAGTTTCTGTTACTGTAAATATTGCTATATGTCTGAGCCTGGTTATCCCGGGGGGGGGGGGGGGGGCTCCCCCCCCCACTTGGGGGGGGGGGGGCCGCCAGGACCTCAAAATCCTCCCCCTATCCCAGACCTGAAATTTTGA